CTGTACATGACTAACAGCAGATGACATGAACAGAAACTGACAGCCTGGTGAGTGCTTACAATGGAAAGTTACACCTAATCAGAAACATGTACAGTCCCTCTAATTCATATATACCATGCACAATCATAATGGAAAGTAATCAGCATAAATAAATTCATGAATGTTGCCAGCATGGTGTTCTAGTTGACATGGTCAGAGCTTACAATGGAAATTTACTCCTCATCATAAACATGCATAGTCCCACAAACTCACATTTACCATGCACACTTTACACTGTACTCACATTTACCATGTACACTTTACACTGTACTCACATTTACCATGTACACTTTACACTGTACTCACATTTACCATGCACACTTTACACTGTACTCACATTTACCATGCACACTTTACACTGTACTCACATTTACCATGCACACTTTACACTGTACTCACATTTACCATGCACACTTTACACTGTAAGGAATCTGCATGAATTATTTTATCAGCATTGTCACCAAGGTAGTTCTACAGAAGTGGCCTGATTCTGTGAACATTTATAAATGAGACAACTACTGATTTGAAACAATAGTTTCATTTTCATTGTATTGAAGTTTCTGGGGAGACGTCCAAAACACAAAAATGGACCTGATGCTAGATGGTTGATGGAGAACCCACCACAATGCTAGATACATATATCTTACATGCCACATATTAATGCTTATCAAATGACACATTCATACATGAACAAATAGGCTGCAGGCATTATTTCAATATCCTGATAACTTGTTACCGTTTTTCTGAATTGATTACTGCATTACCTAGAAAGCTGACCCATGCCCATCAAGCAAAGCTTACAGTAAGTTACAGAGGACACGTCTGCTCACCTGCCTGTCCGTCTGACCTACACCCTTGAGGGACATCCTACAGGTCCCACATCCTGCATAATCTACTTGTGTCACTGGCCATGGACCCAATACAATATAATTGACCCCCTTTGAAACAATTAAAATCATTTTGACAAAGATTTGGTGAAAAAGTCAGAAATTGGGATCAAAACACTTTGCAATATTTCACTTGTGCATGCTCAAAGCGATAACACATTATAATAATAATAATAAGTCATCTTCTATAGCGCACAGTCTCCAAACACCAAGTGATTGCTCGCGGCGCTTAATCAGAATCTGATGATTATTACCCCGGATAACCCAAGCTGCCTGTTAGGCTAGAAGGTTATAGTCACATGACTTATCCCACCAGATACCCATTTTCTGCTGGGTGAACAGAGGCAGTTTTAAACAAACTCACTTGCCTAAGGTGAGACCACATGTATCACATGGCTTCTTTGTGAGTCCTGGAAACTCTCAGGAGTCAAGCTGCCAAACATGGTCACCCATCCAAGGACTCTCCACGCCAAACGTTGCTTAACTTCAACTGACTTGTGACCTGAGCTCTATGCACAGGCCACACACCACCAACATCCGACAACTGGTCCCCCAGTGAGATACATTATGATAAATCCAATGAAAATGGTAATTGTTACTCTGGAAATTTCCATCAGTACATTTTTTCATAAATATTTCCTTCCTGACAGTTTGTTATTCATAACAATATTCTGACAGACTTAACTCAAATTTTCAATCTGTGAGCCTGTATCTTCGCATTTGAGCATCAGTGTTTATACGGTCAAACCTTGCTTATGTGAACACTTGCGTTGTTCAAATGTTGTATGAATAAACAAATGTCTAAGTTTTCGATTCACTTTCAAGTTACCTTCACTACCAATACTGGACCTAGATTTTCGAAGCTCTCTTAGTGTTAAAATGGTTGTAAGTGCCCTATACATTAACATTAACTTATGACTATCTTAGCTCTAAGAGAGCTGCGAAAATCTAGGCCCAGGACCATTGAAGATCCGTGTTAGCAAGCCATGCTTGTTGTAGAGGTGACTGGGTTGCTGACTTGGCAGATGCATGTCATCATATCACAATTACATAGATCAATTGCTCATGATTTCAATCACAAGATTGTCTGGTCCAGACTCGATTATTTACAGTGGGCCCTCATATAGTTGTGATATTGCCGAGTGCTGCATTAACAAGAAACAAACTGACAAAATATATAAACAATACAAAATTGTATGCATGTGCAAAAAATAGAAATTTTCTATTATATTATACATATGAGTATTCGTATCTATTATTATTCTCATATTCTATCGGTATTATTATTCTCATATTCTACAGTTTGGCACAATGTCCGGAATACATTGCATCTGAAACTAATTTTATAACCAGAATAGTATATTCCAGTGTTGCGTCATTTTAGTTTGTGCAACTGATTGCTATTGTGGGATATATTTGGATGTACAGCACAGCTTGATCAGACAATGTGGATGCTATGCTATTTCTGTGGCAATACGGTACATTGGAATATAACTGTCATGCTTCAACAAATATGACATTAAGAGACAAAATATGACATGATTATATATTTAAGTCCCTTTGGACACAAAATACTTTGGTTAATGGCACAATTGAGACTAATAACATAGAAGCAGGTACATTGATTTTATTGATTTAAGAAACACAGACAGTTCAGAGACATCCAAGATAGTTTTATGGATTAAACTTCTTTTTTATTTCCCTCACAACGTTTCGGGACCATTCCACGTCCCGAAACGTGAGGGAAATAAAAATGATGTACAATTTCTAAATGCCACTGAAAGACATCAATTCAGAGACAGTCAGTTTTAGCTTTTCTTCACTCAGTCACTAAGTTTCAATTCCAACAAGGAAACTCGAATCTATAATAAGCATAATGCATCACATATTCATTGTAACTGTATGCTGATAGTACAGTGTTCACTCTAGGGCCACCTTTTATTCCCTGGGACCCATGGAATATATCACTGAAAGTCCCCAGGACTTAAGAAAGACCATGAACTTAATAACCTGTACTGCTTTGCAAGAAACAGGGAAGCCTTAGTCAAAACCTAAGCTTGTCATACCGAGGACCCGGGTTTAACTCACCACGTGGGTACAATATGAAGCCCATTTCTGGTGTCCCCCTCTGTGATATTGCTGGAATATTGCTAAAAGCAGCATGAAAGTTACTGAAACCTTGCTTACTCACCTGTGAGTTTAGTTTTATGCCACACTCAGCAATATTCCAGCTATATGGTGACAGTCTGTAAAGAATTGAGTCTGGATCAGACAATCCAGTGATTAACAGCATGAGCATCGATCGACAAAATTAGGATATGATGACATGTGTCAACCAAGTCAGCGAGCCAGAGCACCTGATCCCGTTAGTTGCCTCTTACAACAAGCATGGGTTGCTGAAGATCAATTTTAACCCGGATATTCACAGGTCTGTTAACTCATCACATGATGTAAGTCAATTTACTAGCTCATAAGTATACTTTAACCCATCAGGATTCTGGGTAAGACTTAAGATCAAACAACCTATGCTTGTCGTAAGAGTTGACTACATAGATCGAGTTGTCAGGCTAAGTGACTTGATGGTTTGTTATTGTCAATTGCATGGGGCAATGCTCATGGCATCAACTGCAGAAAAAAATTTAATCCCATTATTTGCAGATTTTCATACAGCTGCCTTATTCATGAGTGTGACCATAAACACCAAGCAAACAAGATAAATCCACTTAGGAGATAAACGTACTGCGTTATCAACATAGCACTAGGTTACCTGTAGATTCAATTACTCTAAATTTAACTTTGAACTGAAAATGTACAATGGGAGGTTTCTTATAGTAGGTTTAGTATCTCCACGCAACCGTAACTAAATGAAACTTGAACCTTTTGTTGTTATGAAATATATAAGAGCAGAAGCATTGGTTGAGTCCTTTGTTTTGAACAGGTTGTCAATGTGAATTATGGAATCTTTGACAACAGCTAATAAGCTAAATGTAGCACAGTATATATACTGAAACAGTTTACATGGCAATACTTCTTAGCTTGAACAGTAATACTTCACTGGAACATACTACAGTCGTTGAAAGCAAGTAGCTCAGCAACTTCATAACATGGGAAAGATTACACCAAGCAAAGATGACCATAAAAAAACTACAGCACATCACTTTAATGACATATCACTCAAAAACTTAGGGTGTTCATGTGGGAGATTTCCATCATATTTTCTGTGCATAATGTACAGCCACACATACTATTGAATACTGTAGGAACCACAACATTTGACTTTTTTCACCTTTAAATTACATATCATTATGGAAATAAAGACAGCCAAAATTGACTGGAAAAGAGGTACTATTCCATAAATAATAACCTTGATGGTGATGTGGGAGTCAGATCGGCTGGTTCAACCAGTAGAGGTTTATTGTGATTTGATAACCTCTGATTCATTTTAATTCATGGTAACATATAGGTAACTTCTGGTATGTCAACTGAAATATCCGAAATACTGCAAAATATAATTGTTTCACTAAAATCAAAACAATGGTCAGTATTAAACATAAATTGGTATCTTATCACACAACCATACAAAATTTGTTATTTTTCTGTGATGTTTTTGTTCTCTTATTGACAACCTTGTCTGATTACTATGAAATAAATACAAATAATAGGTACTTATCACAGATGGTAATCATATCAAATATTTCAAACATAAATATGTGTTGCCGAAATAGGTCGATACTTCAGATCTCAGCACGACAGTAATGAGAGCAAGACTATAATTAGACAATTATATGTTAATTACTACATGACATATAGCAGACGAAACAAAGTGTTTTCCAGGCTGTCTTTACTTGGGATAAGTATACATTAAACACAGTGATACAGGTTTGCTAGTGACCCCAAAACAATGGGGGGGATAAACAGGACTGGGGTGACCATATGTTTACTGTGCTGAGACAATAGGGGGATTACTGGGCCTTATTTCGGACACTGTTTGGTCTCAGGCTGTGGTGCACTGTTTAACAGTAGCATACCACACAGACATGTTGCCATGCTTAAATGTCATGCAGAAGAACATACCTGATCTTCCCGGAACAGTTCATTTTGTCTTCCTTCGTCAAATCCCCCTGCATCATCATGGGGGTTGGAGGTAGGAGGAATTGGTGCCGACTTTGAGGCCTGCTGTTGTTCTGTGCTTAACCCATACCGACTCCAATCTGGTGATTTCTTGTCTTTACCTCGAGATCCTGAGGACATCAGATTGGTATGCTCGCTGTCACTCATATCGGACATCTTGTGTTGGCTTCACTCAACTGTCACATACCCTGACATCAGCTAGAACTTAGGTTGCCATAGTGACAGCAGACTGGTCAGTCAGTGCCTGGGAATGAGGAAAAATGGTAGCTGCCTAACAGTGGAAGGTGTTGGAGGTCAGATGTCCGCGGTAAGCAACGTTGACCACGCAACGAAACTCACACCAGCCGCGTGTTGGTCACTTCAGACGGCAAAATCACGCCTCATCCTACAGTTAGCTTCAAGATGGAGAATCCATGAACCACGACAATATATGGCCGACTGCCTTCGTGCAGATCTGTCCGTTAACACAAAAACTTGTTCATGAATAATCATCCGCTAATTCTTATAACTAACCGGCATGACAATTACAGGCATGGCGAGAGGGCAGTGCACTAAACGAGCCACATATTTACCACATCGAGACGTGTTGAGAATGCACACGGAATCGATATTGAACATAATACACATTACAATGCAGGCATCGCTGGCGTCTGATTGGGCGGGCTAGCTAGGGCCACATTGATTTTTTTTCATCAATATCTGTAGAACGTCACCGAACAGCTGTGTTGGCAAAGCTTGTACATATTAAGACTAGATTCTACATGTATACTTATGAACCCCAGCGTGGGTGGTTGGTCGGGGTTACGCTTCACGGTGAGGTGGGTCAAAAACCGGAAATCACGGAGAGATTATTAAAAGCTTAACTCCCAGCGTGAATCTACACGGTCTAAAATGTTACATTACTGGAGGAAGTACCAGACCAGAAATGTTCATAAAGCATAATTATTTTGATATTAATTAATCATTGACTATATCTTTTTCACAATCTGTGGTGTTTTGTTACACTACGTCTGACGTTAGTAGACAAATTAACGTTTCACGTGTACATAAGGGCTGCTATACATTTCTTAATAATATATGTAAATGTATTCGAAGCATTTCTCTAACGAAATACACCGACACTCCGAGATCCTCTTTTATTCCGTGAATTGGACGCTACATATTTCCATTATAATAAATACTATAGGGAAATTTAATACAATTGATAATCGAGATTGCCATTTTTTATTTAAATGTATGAAATATGTTGGCTGAGTGAATATTGCACGAGGCAACATAATTCGCTCACGTCGAGAAATGTTCTAATGTTCAAAACATCTATTTAAAAATCTATTTATCTATCAATCCAATATTAGATTTATTCTTTCTTCCATCATATAATTATAGCCATGCATACTTTCTAAAGAGGCGATCCACGTGTAGATAAGGAAAGAGAAAAAAAATCAATAGAGTAGGCGTGAGATATACACTGAACGTACACAGTAAATTTCACATTCCTGGGTATCACTAGTTACCAGGTGGCTGTTTGGGTGTGTTCTTCTTGTAGGAATCCAAGATTTAGGAAAATGTGACAAACTCTTGCATGAGGCGAGCTTACTCGGAAGTTTGCAAAGTTTACTGACGATATTTGAGATATCACGAGTGATCCTAGTGCTAAACAGACTTTTGTGGAAGATTTAAAGAGCGCTTCTGAAATAATCTTACTTTGCTCTCGGGTCACTCCTATGAAAATATGATTACAAGCAATAGAGGTGACCCGTTAAAAAATGACACAACGCTATTTTTTTCAAATATGTATATATATCTTAAAATATGATCATATATCGTAAAGAGGGAGAGGTACTCGTCTGCATGTGTTACCATATTTCTCTGACATAGACTGTACTCCTCCAGAATGTTAAAGAACGACCTAATTACAACCTAGTCCAGGGTGAGTGAATTTAGGTTTACGCCGATTTTAGCAATATTCAAGCAATATCACGTGAAGAAATGGGCTTCACACTTTGTACCTATGTGGGGAATCGAACGCGGGTCTTCAGCGTAACAAGCGAACGCTTTCACCACTAGGCCACCCCACCGCCCCACCTAGTCCAGAAATGATCATTTAGCTGTAGAATTTACTTTTATTGCAAGTGTCAAATTATTTAAGTTAAAGTATGCGTGTGTCATCGTCACCCACACCAAGACCAAAGATTAGTAATAAGGCAACATTTTTCACGTCAGTTTTACACTAGAACGCAATGAAAAAAACACACGATATAATGAATCTTTGATATTAAATTTAGTGTTATGTTTTCTTCCATACTAGTGCACACTATATTACAGCAGTGTGTACCTTGTGCTTATTCACTAATCGGGATTGGGCAACACAAACCGGTGGTTGATATGAAGAGCATTTCTCCACGTATGGCCAAGCTGACATGTACGCAAACAGCTAAATTATAGCTGGACACTCCATAATATACAGTACAACCAGAAATTATTGAGAATTTAAAGATTGTAATTTTTGTTTTCACTCATTACTCACGTATTAAATGTGAATATTAGCAGAACATAACTCAAGATTCAAAGACAGGTGAACAGTTAGTATTTTGTCAAGTCACCAGGGGCAGCAATGCAGGCTTCAATGCGGCGGGGCATACTACTGATCAAAGAAGTTAGAAAGTCGTGGTCCATGCTGTCCCAATATCGGACCACCTCTTCTTTCATTTCAGCAATATTTGTCAGATTTTTCTTATTGACACTTTCCTTCATAAGTCCCCAAACATTTTCTATTGGATTTAGGTCAGGGCTATAGCTTGGCCAATCTAATAATGTCATATTTTGGGTCCGAAACCAGGCCTGTAAATGCTTTGAACGATGTTTTGGGTCGTTGTCCTGCTGGAAAATCCAAAAATATCCATAGAACACGTGAGCAGACACGCTCACTGTTCATATTCCCTTCAAATACACAGAGGGGCGTTGCCCCTTACACAGATATGCCACCCCATATGTTAAATTTCGGACTGTACTTTGGGCGCGGATACAATGGTTTTTCAGTTTGTTTGGTCCAGAATTTCAGTGTATTAGGAAACAGCCACACAGAACTTTCATTTGAGAAAATCAAATTGTCCCAGTTAAAATTTCTATGCTGTAAGCACCAGTTCAACCTTCGCTCCTTTTGTTCAGGTTTCTAATTGTCTCCTTACAGACAGTTCCTCTATCAATCATATCCAGCCTTATGTTTTCTAAACTCCTTCGTTTGTTTTTAGAAACAAGAATACCAAGCCGCCTCCTGTCACCGACAGTCAATTTTCTGGGCCTACCTGCCCCTCCCTGGTGCTCAATGCCATATCCATTTGCAATATTTTTCAAAACACGATAAACGGTGTACAAAAGGATGCCCGTTCTACTTGAAATCACTTTAGCTAATCTGATATCCTAGTTATAACACTCTAAAATCAACTTCCTCTTCTCTAAATCATCCATACTGAGGATCACTGAAATGTCGTCTGCTAGCAAGTAAACAAAGGGGGATAACTCTTCACAAACTAATGAAAAGGGATTAACGGAGTTGTCTCTCTTGAATGAAACCAAGCACTTGATAGGTGGTCAAGGTTGTTTATACTAGAAATCCAATTAAACATATCCTAAAATTCTCAATAATTTCTGGTCATACTATATGAATTGAGTTGCCTCTATGTTCAAAAACAATTATATCCCTCTCATGTTTGATCGAACATGAATAATATACATGTAGTTAGTCTTTATTTTTCTGAAGAAATAAATCATGACCCATGGAAATTCAACGAATTAAATTCTAAATATATGAACAGAATCAAGTTAACACTGTAAAAGAAATTCCTGTGAAAGTGGTCCCTCAGTCACAAAGTTTGTCTGACAGCTTCAGTTGATGGAAATGATTATTTTGGCTGACAGCAACACAAACAAATACCAGTTTTTAGTGTAAAGTGTAAACTGCATCGTGTATGTAACCTAGCACTAACAGCAACATTTGCAGGATAATATGGACGGAATACCAATTTCAACTCGGAGTCACGCCCACCTTCGATAATGAGAGTTCTCTACGGAACTGTACGAGAATTTCCGATCGCGACAGGTTCCCGACTGTTATTTCCGTAAAGCAAACGACATGATTCTTTGCGCACTTGGTCAAAATCCCCTATATAGACAGACACAAGTCTAGTCAATGTGGGATGACTGGGATTACTTGTAAAATGCGACGCACATCATACAATGCAGCCGATACCCAGTTTAACTCATGCACCAATCGTAGTGCGTGTCACTTCTGCCGGTCGCCATTACCAAGCCGCCGGTGCATGTTGTATTGGAGTTGATAGTTTATCATTGTGACGCATTCGAAAAACAAGTGTCTACAAGGTTGGTAAGCATGGCCAATGGAGCATTCGTCATAAATTACAGCTCCTTGTGTATGTAGCGTAATGCTTAGGTAGTAAACACGTGTCCTTCCGGAATGTCGATGTGCGACGGCTCTGATGATGTGGCAAGCACTCATGTCATAGCAGATAAGAAATGTTTGTTCTGCAGTACTAACGATCAGCTTCACTGAAACGTGTGTATGTTCATTCCTTGCATCTTACCCTTTGAGCTGCCTCATACGATTTGCACATTCTGCAATGAACAATTTAATCTGCAAAACAGATTTGTTTGGGTGTGTACCAAGCTGACTATACATATCTAGTAGGCCTACAAACAAGTGTTTGTTCTAAATATTTTCGTTAATAAACATTTCGATCAGTGCATTTTTTTAACCTCCAGCCTGCCCTAGCTTGTCATTCGTGAAAGAATTGTCTGTTGGTTAAATACCAAATCTTAATCTGACTGAAGTCTACTTCCAAGTAAATATATCACCTGCAAATGAATATAAATGGAAGTATTATAATACCTTAGCAATTTGTGATTAGTGAGAAAATATATGCACCTTGGATATGTTGGATCTAAACAATACTGAAGTCATATTTTATATTGTTTCAAAAAGAGGCAATACAGTGAGTTATGTATTTCTGAGTAAGTACTAATTCAGACCCTGTTCATCTTAGCCCCCAGAAACCTGTGACTCATGGAAATCAGTAGTCAGGCCTTGTGATTTGGTTGATAGCATTCCATTGTGCCACAATGAAGTGAATCATTGCTCATGTCCATCACTGTTTTGTATCTGGAGTATTGCTGAATTTGCACCAAATAAACAAAACAAATTCATATTTGTATTAACTATTATGTTACAGATCCTCTGACCATGAAAACAGCTACCCAAGCATGGGGCCCACAGTGGCTGCTGAGAATGTCGCCAGACAAACAAGACACTCTGCTGAAGATGATGGTCTTAGCCATTGCATCAGTTCTCTGTAAGTAGATTTTAACTGCTAACAAGAAAATCTTTCTAATATAAACATTCATGTTACACAGAAAGACATACATAACAACCAAATATCACACAGTGTTCAAAATTAGCATGAAAGTAATTTAGTAAAGGGTCCTATTTATGGCCCTAGTGTTCAAACTTGAAAATGTAGAGTGTCACTTATTGTAAGTACAGCAGGATTAACATGATAAGCTGCAAGGACTCTAAGGATCGTTTGATTGCAAGCATCGCTGAGTACCGGTAATAACATATTGAATGTCGGACAGTATTATCCCATTATTAACATGATTACCATAGATACATTTTACTATATACTAATTAGCTGGTTTTATCAAGATAAAATCACATGATAATACAGCTTTTTAAAAAAAAGGTGTATGCATTATTATTATTATTTATGATAAGTTATGTTTGTTTGGAAAAAAGTCCTGATT